CAGAGATGGTTAGAGCAGTCCATTGTGCTATTTTAAATTAGATCTACCAAGGTGGATATTGTAAACATCTAGAGCAAACCAAACCTTTATGTGTGTTTCTCCATTACTTAAAAAAACTGTATAGGGATGCAGATGAAAGCAGGCACAGCATTTTAACTTCAAAATATCAACTAATTTTCTGTGCAGATGAGGGAAAAGAGGCCATTAATTTGAGTGGATGAATCGGTGATAGTTTTGCATTTAACATTTAAGAACATTGTCGCAATAACAATTCTTTGTTTTATTACGAAGTTCCGAATGGCTTTACACTCTGTAAGTTCACTTGTACTTCATCTGAATGTGGCGGTCAGGCCACTGTAGGTGGTGGCTGACTCCTAGGTATCAGAGAAGTTTTGTTGAAATGCAAAGTTTAGCTATCACAGAACGAGAGAATAGTTGAGGTTTGAAGGCCCTTCTGGAGATCATCCAGTCCAACCCTCCAGCTCTCTCGACCTCTTCCTGTGTGTCAGATGCTCCAGCCTCCTCTTCTCTGCGTCCGTTTGCTGGACTTGCTCCAGTAGGTCCGTGTGTTTCTTGTGCTAGGGAGCCCAGACCTGGACGCAGCACTGCAGATGTGGCCCCACCAGGGTTGAGTATCCTAGTGGCCTGCAGTGTGCAGAATGTCACAGACTGCCCTGGGATTAGCTGCAACTTCAATTCTAGCTGCAGCTTTAATAATTTCATTGTAGACTGTTGTGTGACAGCAGAGCTAGTTCAACCAGGGGAAGCAACCTTGGTTGCCTGAAATCCATCTGCCTTTGAAATTGATTTATTTTAGTATTGTGCACATTGCATACTTTTGCCAGCTGGCTTTCAATCTTGCATACACCCTTAAGGGTTCATTTTGTTATTTGTTGGGTTTACTTCTGTGCAACTCCACTGACTTCAGCAGAATTACTACCCAGTTTACACTAGAGTAAGTGACAGCTCTCAGCAGACTGAGAAATTGCACCAAACAAGCACACAGCGGTACCAACAATATTTATCTGATTTTTTTGAAAGAGGAGGTCGCATGCTTTAAAAATAGCATTGCTGAAAGGCACAGATGTCTTTCTGTGACAGATCTTTAGTCAATATCCATAAAGCTTCTGCACTTTGTTCTAAAGGTCTTTCTTTTCCTTTCTGTAGTTGCTGGCTTCTATATATTTCACTAAATCAGTATTTTGAAATCCTGTGGAATAATAATAGAGGAGATACGACTGCCCTTATTGTTTCATTATTTAAGAAGACTCCAGATTTTGTCACTATCCAAATAAACGGGAGAAAGTGAAAATCTCAGAATATGTGACTCAGCCTGCTCAGTAGAAACCTGAATGCGTGTGGACGATCTACGTTTGTGAGACCACGCGTCCCTAAGCTTTTCTCTTTTGCTTTTCTTGCTTGAAGAGGAATAAATACAAAGTTTTTAAATTTTTTTGTAACGGACAGCTTTGTCAGTCGCAACATGCATGGTATGCTTTGATGATACATATTAATGTATTTATCAGGGAAAAAGAAGAAATAATGCAGTAGCAAACTCCCTGAACTGTGGGAGTTCCTGAATATGTAACAATATCTCTGTGATTTATTACTGGGTTGGAAAGCCTTTCCAAGTATCAAAACCTTTTGAGTATTCATTTATTCATAATTATTTATCTGGCTTGAACGCATTTATCAGCTTTTCCCTCAGAGTGTTTCTTAAAACATGCCAGCAGAAGCTGATTCTGAAGACATCAAGGCTGGCGCTTGTTACTATGCAAAGTTCAAAAAACCTTTTGTGTAGGTAAATTCAAACACGCTGAAAGCTAATGCCTATTTCATTCTTGACTACTGCATACTTAACGATGTAGCCGTTCTACTTTTCATTGAATGCCTTTCCCTATCTCCCTTATGATTGACATGAGACCTTATCAGTCTTTCGTTAGAGAAGTCAGAAGTTTTGTGCAGTGATGAAAATAATAATCTTGTGCAAAGGAGAATATCTTCTAAGACCCTTTTTATATGAAGGTACGGAAAAGAGTTTGATATCTCCCTGTTAGTCTGCCATGGTTCAAGAGGCGCATTCACCGTGCCAGGTAGTTAAGTAATGTACCTGCCAAACAAAACGAAATACAAGTCAATTGAGACAGCAACTCCTTTATCCCAATGCTTACATCCAAGATGTTGGAAGAAACGCATAGTTCCTATCAGATTTGTTGTGGGTTAAGTCTGACACATGCTAATACCAGTACAAAACTCGGCCATGAAATATCATTTGGTATTGGGACAAATCCATTTCCAGCGCAAGGGAGAGGAATAAGCTCAAGATAAAGAACGTAGCGTGGTAGACCCTAATACCCAGGGGTTACTGTAATGAACAACAGTTTTGGCGATCTCTGTATCCCTGATGGGGTCCCTGACATAGGTCTGAAAATGACCGACTGAAGCTTCATACACAGATCAGATGCATGTGTGATCATATGTATCAAAGATCAGGTATGTTCAATACTCAGTGTGCGAAGATACCCTTCACCTACCAGTGTGGAGGTCAAATTAAGCAGGAAGCTTGCTTCAGTGAATGTACAAGCCTTTGCTCCTTTTTCCCAAGGTTTGGCACCTCATAATTTTCCTCAGACTTCTTCTGGCTCTCCATATACCAAAAACCCTGACTTAAGGTATTGTAATGTACTTTGCACTTTCTACTTTTGTAGTCTGGCCATTTGTGAAACCTACTGCTGGCGCTCTGAGGAGGGTGAAGAATCCGGGTGGCCTTCAGCAATGTCATGCTCTGTGGGGAACTTGTCCTCTGTGCCTGCAAATTCCAGAGTTTCCGTAGTATGACCTCCCTTTTGTGATTGCCCCTCTAAAGGTGGCTGAATGGGTATTTTGGTGGGTCTGAAGGCAAAATGGGACTGATTCCTATTGGAACCTTGGCTTATGAGGCTTCCTTCAGATCTGTAACCCCTTCAGTTGTCTTCCCTGAGGCCCCACTGTGACACAGGGGTGAAGCTGCAGCGACTCACCCAGGTTGTGTCCTTGCTACCGTAGCCAGGCCTCCACCTCATGGCAGAAAACAGCAGTAAGTTTTTCTGCAAACTTCTGCCGACTTAATGTAAGTAGTATCTGCTTCTGAAGCAGCACTAGACACACTGAGCGTTTCAGTTGAATGCGTCATTGTGTTTCACGACTGCCCGTATTTCTAATGGGCACGTTTCAGAATTAGCTCTCTTGTCTGTCTAGTAAACATTGTTGCAGTTGTCACTGAGGAGAAAGGGATAGTGTAATTGTCCTAGCAATTTTCTAATGGAGATTAATTCCATTTTTCATCCATTTTTGTTCCAAGCTATAATGCTTCCTTCAACATATCATTGCCTCAGGACCTCTAAGTTCCCTGTAGGCAAAATTTTAAAATTATATATGAGTTGTCATACTAGACATTTGTGAGGCTATTTACAGAAATCTGTCAGAAAATAAAAAGAAAAGTGTTGGCCTCATGGAGATTTGAAAACACATTTCATTTTCATGCATGGACAGCATCTGAGAGTAAGATATGGAGATTCAGTCTCACTTTCTTCCTAGTCTTAATTAGAAGAGCATCTATTCCTGCCTATTAATCAATTCTAATAATTGAAATCCTTGCAAGACTATTTGCTGCCTGCTGTTTCCCATTAGTGGTAGACAGAGAGGCTACCCAGTAGATGGAAATTTTTCCTATTTTTTGTTTTGCTTGCAGCTTCTCTACTCACTTTACTACTTAGGAATCAAGGAAGTGATCAGCATTTGCCCTGGAGCAAATAATTATCTTAAGATGATAGTACATTATTAGTATTAAAGTAGTGATATCCTATACTCTGTTGCAGAAGTGTATATTTAACATTGGAAGAATTCTTCTGGGCGCTTGAGCTGAAGGGTTTTTTTTTCCTGGAGCCTCTAGTGATGACACTGGACTGCTTCCAAATTCCAGGGGATGGAGGGAGGGAAGGGGGCATTAACCCGTGAGTGATGAATGAGAAGCTGGTCTACAGCTAGTAGGGCCTTTCTCTATCTATGCATAAGGGTAAGTTCTGTTGCGGTCGGTGTTTAATCGTTTCCATAGTTGGGGCAGGAATTTCAAAAGTGATGAATTCTCTTTTCAAACCAGTATTTTAACCAGAGCGTGTGTAAATATAGTTGTTCATTGAAAGGGGAGACAATCAAACTGCACTTGTATGCACAGGTTATCCAATTAACTGTTGTATTCTGCAGCAGCTGTTGTTTCTGTATTTGTTACAGTTTGCTGTTATGATAGCTTTAGCTTTTCCTGAGCTTTGAAGAGATGGATGACAGATTCCTGACTGTTTGCACAACCTAATCATCATAGTATGACTTTCATTTTTATAATTTTTTTTCCTATTTTCCTTATAAATATAGATGATAGGAAAAAATAAAAAGGAGACGTTTCCATTAGAAAGCAAAGGATGTGAAGACAAATGTTTCCTAAAAGGGTACAGTGTACCTGCTGTCGTTCATTTAAAATACTGTGACTGCAAAATATTGACTCTTTCATTCATGCCTCTGTCCAAGTTAGTAAAACTAAAACTAGTTATAGGTTATGCCTAACTAGCAATGGCATGCCTAAACATAATCTAATGTTGATGTAGCCCTGTGCTCTGCATGCTTCTGCCCTCTGTTCTGTTTACAACTGTTGTTGAATGAAATGTCCAAAAAAAAAAAGCTTTTTGTAAGCAGTGTAAGTTTCCTTTCCACCAACTTTTCTTTTTCTCATATTTTCTGTGAGTAAGTCTATTCTTCTAGAGACATGAATAGCTCCTTTTTTTTTTTTTTTTTTTTTTTTAACTCACTGGCAGCCAGTGTCTGTTAGTTATCTGAAACAATTTTTACAGAATGTGTCTGGTTACCAGTAAACAGCCTGAAAAAGAGATTGTGCATGTTATAGCTTTTTTTGTTATCACAAGGGTGATAATATGATTCTTCTGTCTCTGCCCATCTTTCTGCCTTTGCAGTGTACCTCTTGTTGATTTACTGGACAGCGAGGAGTTGCCAGAAACTTGCGTTGATGATGCCATAGGCCATCCAGGTGTTGGCTTGACCACAGGAGTTTCGGAAGAGGCTGCTGGTTGCCCTCATCCTGGCACAAAGGAAACTGCCGTTGAAAGAGCAGACCCCGATTGTAAGAGAATTTACAGACTTTTTGCTATTACCATGACATATCCGGGTCAAAGTTAACCAGTTAGATAGTTATGAGGCCATTTCCTTACAAAAATCCAAAAGAGTTTGAGAGAGCTCTCTTTGACAATGTGTATAAGGATAATTTTACCTTGCACTGGAGTGCAGCTCCCTCTAGTATATAAAGTAGCACATCTAGGAGTTCAGTACCAAAACGTTAATGAGTCGTCTTTCAGGACGATTTCACAATCAGACTTCTGTCTGTGAGGTTTCTAACATTGCTGCCTGTGTATCTACTGGACTGCCCTTACTTAACGTCACCAAACAACAGGAGCTGCCTTGTGAAGGCTCTCTTCAGCAGATTCAGTTCACTTTGCTGTAGCGTGCACGATAATTATTTCATGCTCCAAATGGCTAATAGAATTCTGCCTTTTCTGATTTTACTGTATTACAGTACTTTGCCACAAATTATTCAAGAGCTGCATAAGACGTTATTGTGAATTTAAATGCAGCAAGTTGGGACAGCAGAGTCGGTCAGCTCTGGCCTGTTTCAGCTGGAAGCAGCTTATTTCCAAGGACAAAGAGTACAAGGGAAAAGTCGAAGTTCTTCGTGAGATCTGAGTTTAGCCACAAATAAGGTGCAGCCATCTGAGCAACTAACTTGCTGATTCATTACAAGGATGACTGAATAAATGAACTTGCAGAATGGTCTGATAAGGTATATATATGAAGGCTGTAGGTGTGAAAGTGGCATTAAAGGTTGAGCAGGTAGCCTTCCCCCCGCCCCCATGCTAATCCCAATCTTTAAAACCTGTGCCTTTAGCTTTCAGGAAGAATGCAAGTTACAAGGCAAATATAACTCTGCGTTGGCATTAGCAAGATGTTGTCTTTGCCATCTTTTTCAGCATTTGAAGATACGCTCCTACATCTGAAACAGCTGGAGACAGAGCACAGCAGCCCCATGCCAACTGCCTGTCCCAACATAAACATAAATGTACAGGTACTTGGGCTTCATTCCTCCTTCTAGAGTCACAGAGATTTGTTCAGATAATTCTGAAAAAATTTCTGCTTTACCTGTTCTATTTGCAAGATCTTTAAAAATATAAGTGATACTAGGGAGAAGTAAACCAAATACAAGTACTTTGTTTTATGTAAACCTCTGCATGAGATAAAGAGAGGGGGATTGGGGTGCACGTGTGTGTGAATACCACAGCCTGGTGACATTTTCTAAAACCATTGGGAATAATAGGCTTAAACATTTGAGATGTTCCTCTATTGTTTTTATCTATAAGTTCCTAAATATGTGTTAATATATATAGTTCATCCTCTTTTCTTCTTCTAGTGTTTCCAGGTTTCCCCCCCCCCCCCGCCCTTTCTCTGTTGCATGCACTAGCTCTTGTCGAACTTTATTTTGACTTTTTGCTGAGGCAAGGTTGCTGGTGATCAGTCCCTTTTATTAAGTAAGTCGTTTTTACCTGCTCCTTGAAACAGGTGTTAGTGGAAGGTTGTGTTTACATAGCAAGGAATGATGTGGTTTGATGTAGTACTCTCAAAAATCCCTTTGAGCAGGTCAGGCTGCGTTTCTACAGGCAGCTGAGCCAATCTAACAGCTTCGCTGCTCTGAAGAGGGGGAGGGAGGACCCTGTGCCCTCTCGTTCCTCTTTGCTGTTCCTTCCTTGACTTCCCTCTCTCCTCTGCTGCCTCCAGCAATTATTGGATGTTTCAGTGAACCAATGTTATCTACAAAATGCCAGAAAACTATTATTTGGCCTTTTTTTTTTTTTTTTTTTTGCTTTCTTTTAGTACTTTTTTTGTTTGGTACCCATAGAGGGTATGTTTTGCAGACAAGCCAGGGCGAGAGGCTACGGTTTATAACGTTTTAGCATAGTGAGAAGGTACTTACAGGGGACAGATCGTGCAGTGTGATTTGTTTGGCTTCTCACCTTTTGTATGTGACAGCTTTTTGGTTTGGTTTGTTGGTTGTTCGTTTTTATCTTTCAGAGAATTTGGAATTTCCCTCCAGGTTCCACTGTAAATAAATCCAATTTTAAAAAGCAATTCAGTCCCCTTACCCCATGTTAAAACTTTAGGTTGCTTATCACATTTTGAAGAAGAAGAGAGCGTAAAACAACTTGCAGCGTTATCTCTGTATTTACTGCTGTCCCTTGCAGGGAGGCTTGAGGATTTATCTACGCTCTGGTGAAGTTACCATGATTTTCTTGTTCCCTCAGCAGTGAAACGAGTCAGGTTCTGAGAGTAGTTTTTAGTGGTGCATGTCTGGGCTAATCCCATTCCTAGGCAGTTGTCTCCCCTCTTGCCCTGAGAAACAGCTTTTGCTTTGGTATGCTCGTGGCTACAGGCTGTTTTGCTCACGTCCCCTTTAAGGTCTGTTGTCCGGGATGCCTTGTGTACCTTTCTGCTTGGTGACTGCGTTACAGAGATTACCAGGTCTCTAAGAAGATTAGTCGGTAGCCTATAGGTCTTATTATGCCGAAACACTGCCTCAGCATAAACTAGAGTAAATGCACACAGCTTATTTCAGAGTATCTTTGCCAACTGAGCTCCATTTTAGTTTAAACAGAGAGAAGAAAACAATCGGTAGGTTAAACGAAGAGAGTATGGAAAAAAACTATATTAATCATTTTTAAATCATAGCTGAAATAAACTAAGCAAGTTAAGATTCCTGCAAGGAGCTAATCTAACAAACAGCTGCTAATACAGTACAAACACAGTTTTCCAGCTGTCATGTCAGATGCTGAGTGACTTTGGATGACGGAGGTTATGGATGCTGGTGTGATGTGAAGCTGGTTAGAGAGCAGGAATATTTGCATAACTGAGAAATAAGTGATCTGTGGATCAACAGTACACTAGTATGATCCTTTCTTTTGGAAGCAAAGACATCAGCAACTTTTAGGAAGTGCAAATTGTGTTCTGAAAACTTAAAGTGTATTATCAGTGGTTTTCTTCGGGTGGAGAAAATCAAGTAAAGCTCTTCAGCCTCTGGGATGTAGCTTACCAAGTGGTTCCTTGGGACTTATGTTTAAAAAGGTAGTCAATGGTTAGAGAATGTCTCTGTTTATTTCAAATTCTGCGGGGTTCAAATTGCAAAGACAGGTAGGTTACAGTTGGCAGGTGCTTGCCAGATGAGCACCTCCCGTTGTGATTAGAGATGAAGATTAATCATTTGGAAATGAATTCCGAAAAGAGTAACTTAAGAATAACTCTTTAAAACACTTTATTGCCCTGTTTGTGAAAGCTACTTTTAAAAAAATCCACGCATGGGGTTTGTTACAAAATACACATGTTAGCCCTCCTCCTGCATGTAGTTTCACTGTTTAATTTACTCATAAAAGGAAGTAGTTTTGGTACCTTTTTCTGACTGAACAGAATAGGACAATATATTGTTATTGACTGCTATATCAACTGAAACCTTAAATCTTAAATCTTGGAGTTTGCTGTTATTCCAGCTGAACACGGTGTTCTCTCTGGAAGCATGCAATTGCAAATTTCAGCATGTCTAATATCCCTTAAGTTTTACCAATGCATGAAATGCCCATTGATGCAGAAACAGTTACAGCACATAAAAGATTTGATGAAATGCATCAGAGGAAAAGTGTTAGTTCACTACTTAAGAAGGTAGAGGTGTATCTTGAACTCTGTAAGTTGATACTGTCAGATGCCAGTGAACTGTTCAGTTCTGTTAATTAAAAATCTTGAGCTTTTTTCTTCAGAGGTCAGAGATGGCCAGTCCAGCATCATCTTTACGTAACTCTATTCTTGCAGACTCTTGGTTTCTTTGGTAGGCTTCCCTGCCCTTTGAGAAGGGGAGAAATCTTTCTAGAATGAGAATTAGAAAACGTGGAATGAATGGCTTTATTCTTCCTAGCTGCTCTCTGCCAAATTCTGCTGGAGTGGAAGCATGCCACTTTGTCACTTCCAGGCTTTCGCTAACGCAGCGGCCAGATCTGACAAAAGAGAGCAAATAACTCTTAAATACACTAGCGCTCCACTTTCATCAGCTTCTGAAGTGAAATGAACAACAAAAAGTTAACCCTCTTTGCCTGCATTCTCAATCTATTCCAAAGTTAGAAATGCAAGAATACAAGGCTTTCTTCTTTTTCTGAATTTGTTGTGATCTTTGAACACTTGGGGGTTGCTCCAAAATGTGTATATATTAGACTCTATCTCTCATCACAGAGAGGTTTTCAGCAGCACCAGAAACATTGCTCAAAAGCACAAAGGATCGGGATCACACGTCCTTCTGCTGCCTCTAATCTTTCCTTCTGTTTTTACGCCGCTGCTTAGCTCCATATACAGAAGCTGTGCAATGGTTTGAAGAATAAAGTACAATATGTTTTGTCCAGTACATCGAAACAAGAGAAAATCCAAATGAGCTAGAATATTGACAAACTGCAGCAGCCTTATTGTTTTATGTGACCATTTAAACGTCTTGTAAATGAGATATCTTAAAGCACTGCCAGGTGCCAAATGCTTTCCCCTCTACCTATATGCTCTTTCCTTAAAAAACAAAATCATAATAATCAACTTGTCCTTTTTTTAGACTGGCACTGGAACGATGCTTTAGGAATTCCCGGTGGGGACTGTTACATAGAGCATCCAGTTCAGTAAGGGTCCAGTGTAAGCAGTTAAAAATGTTGGGTGCTGCGATAGTACAAATAATTCAGTTTTAATTATCCCAGACTTTTGGCAATTCCAGTAGCTTCTGTAAAATTAAAACACTTAAAATGTTTAATAAATAATTGTTTTGTTAGCATTCATGAATTTTGTGAATGCACGTCTCTTAATACGTGCTAACAGTAGTCATTAGCAACATTGGTGGGTTTTCCTAATATCTGTTTATGTTGACAGTGATCCTTTAAGATTTTTACAAAGTTCTGTGTTCGTTGCTGACCGTGGCCAAAACTTAAAAATGAGTTCTTCTTCACGTAGTCTCATAAGCCCCTATTTGAATACCCAAAGAGGTGATTTGGAAGGAGGCAAGAAGAGGAAATGTTTTTCCTCTCCCTACAGACTAAATACCTAGAAGTTCTCACTAGTGTTTCCAATTAGCGAAAAAACTTACAAGTGGAGGATAGCTGGTTAGGAGACAGGTGTTCAACCTTTTTTAACTTACCTTCTCATAGCCTTTTTATTTTTACTTTCTGCTCTATCTCCATGCAATGAGCTTCCTTTCTTCTGGATCCGCTGCAATGCATGCACGTAGAACTCTAGCTGGAATTTGCCCATTGTAAGAACAGAGCGCTTACCTTGACGAAGGAGGCTGCTTTATCCAGTAGCTGGTAAACCGCGAGAAAAGTAGGACTCTGTCTCCCCCTGCTGAGTCATTCCCTGAGAAGGAAGGTCACAAGGTTTAGTTTCCACTGAGTTAATTAATTTCTGCCAGTAATCAAATAGCAATTAGTAACTTGAAAGCTTAAGTAACATTTGATAATTAAGAAATGAATTCACGTAATGAGTCATACTGTATTGAAAAGGTATTTCATTTGTAATTGTTCTCAGACTATATCTGACTGCCAGGTTGATGTGATATAATTAGTGATGGGAGAGGTATTTAATAACGTATTAAGCTGTTCTAATCTATGAGCAGATTTTAGGGTAAAAATCCACCTAATTTGCTTTTGAGAGCAAAGTATTAACTTATACTTAGGATATACCCATGCAAGATAGTGGTTGCTGTATCGATGTAAATGTGGTGGTGTTAAATAGGGTTTAAAGCCCAGCTATACTTAAAAGCTCCGTCAGGTCAAGTGATGAGTAATTACATATGGTCATGTTCAGAAGACGTGTATGCAGTGTGGTCATTTGTTTATGTAGCAGCCTAGCTTCTCCTTTTCAAGACTTTCAATTACAAGGTTCTATTACTCAGAGTAGGTGAATGAGAACTTGCGTCAATATGCTGATAATCAAATTTAATGATGAAAACACAGTATTTAGAATTATAATGCTTTTCTTCCCCAAAGAACAAAGCCTTCTCCTATGCAGCCTGGGCAATCGAATTGTAAGACGATAGAGCTGAATGGAGAACGCAGGTCTGAGAGGATGCATTTAGCTCAGTGATTCATCTCAAATCTCTGCCTCTTTCTGCCAAATTTTTAAAGCAAAACCCTCAGTTTTGCTTTGCAAAACTCTCAGTTTACATTCAGTAAAATCTGCTCCAAATTTAAGGTCCACTGCTGTTCGGTTCTTATTGTATTTTTAGCACAATGCTTTGTATTTTAAGTGTCAGGCTTTTTTTTTTTTTTTTTTTTTACTTTGTATTTTGCTGTAATTTTACAGCTGAGTTCTGAAATAAAGAATAAAATGCTTTTTTATTTCAGTATAGCTCTGCTTATTTTCCTCTCACTTGGGACTTTGTTGTTACTTAGTAACAACAAATGTTAGTAGACTTCAGCGCAGATTTTCCCATATGGGAACTGCTTCTAATGAAAATTTTCTGTGTCTAGGATGAAGTGGTAAAGCTGACAGATAAGTGTCTTAACAATGCAATTGAGAGCCCAATACCAGCAACAGCGTGGCTTCCATCAGACATCAAAAGCAATATCCTGAAGGCCCAGGCAGAGACAGGACACAAGGTAAATACTCAGCTGATAAAGACTTAGCCATTCTCAAATATTTTATTTTAGAAAATTCATTGGTTGTGAGAGGAGTCCGTTAATAAAGCTCAGGAGATGTACTGAGATATGTGACACTCTTCAGTTGCCTGGTGTTGGAGAAGGTACCTTGGACTAGCCATGAGGTTGGTCCAACAGCCGACGTCTAAAGACGGGCAGAGTGAGAGAGCCTTTCAGGAGAAATATGCTGACCACACTGCAGGCTGAGGCTTACATCTCCTAAGTGGTGGGGGGGAGAGGTTTAACAGGCAACAAACAGAAGTTGTAATGTGGGAAATTCAAATTAGATATAAGGAGAAATTTATTCAAAGTGATGGTGGTCATGTACTAGAGTAGGTTGCCCAAAGAGGCATCACATCTTTGGTGATGCTCAGAACCTAACTGGACAAGGCCCAGAGCAACCTAATTTCATTTTGGATTTGGCCCCAATTTGAGTGGAGATTGAACCAGATCACCTCCAAAGGTTCCCTTCTAACCAAACTTCTTCTCAAGTATTGATATGCTTCTAGGATGCCCTAATACATTTTGTAATAAATAGTGGTGTTTTATTTGGCTACATTCCTGAATTATTTTTTACGTACACTGAAGTTTTCCTGTAGAATTCATGTTAAGTCCATGAGCGGTAGATGAATAGCGCACTCTCATGTTGGGAGGGAGGAACTGAGCTTTTCTATGAATCTCAGAACTAATACAAGATGGAAACAAGGTATCAAAAATGTGTTGTTGCTGGGTTTTTTTGTTTTTTTGTTTTTTACATTTTTTCTATCAGGTCACAAGAGAAGACAGCCTAACGGGTATCAAGAATTCCAATATGCAGGATGCCGCTGTCAGGTACTGAGCAGATTTGGAAGAAACATGTAGGATCTTGTTCTCCAAGTATAAGATTGAGAACCTGGAGCTCTGCAGTCTTAGTGTTCAGTATGGTCTTTCAGTGGCGTAGGGATCATTGAATTTTACCTCTGAAAGGGATTTTTTTAAGTTCACTTAGCTGTTACAGCATAAGTTAATCTGGTAAGTATAAAATGTTTTTAAGCTAATCCAGACACGTCCTTTATTCTCCCATACTTTAATCTGATAAAAGGTGTTTCAGCAGCAGCCCAGAAGACTGACGTTATGTCTGACCCATGAAGGGCCTCAGTGTGGGGAGGGGGGAGAGGTCTGTTTATAATAGCTCTTTTCCAAGGAAGAAAAAAATCTGTGTACAAAAACTTGTCACTGACAGTTGATTTCCTGTGAATTATTGAAACTCATATGGTTGGTAGTTCCATGTGGATTTCAGGCATAGAAAAAATTAAAGTGTTACAACGTATAATTTATTGACCAGCTGCGGAAGATGAACAGGTATCAGACTTTAAGAGCACATAGGGATATTAAATGAAACGTGCATCTGGCGATGTCAAAAATACGCTGTAAGGAATGATTCAGGAAGAGCTTGCAGTGAAAGCGTGTACCCGTTTCGTTTGTGCAGGAGCATTCCAGCAGGCAAAACCCAGAGCAGTCCCCCAGCGACCAACCCAGGATTTCAAGAACCAAGAGAGCTGCTGAAAGCAATCTCTGCCTCAAGTGCTATCATTCTGTAAGTGATTCAGGAGAAAAATGTTTCTGGGATAAGGGAGCCACATAGAGATTGGCATGAAAGAGGCTTGAAAAGTTGGAGAACAGTTAAGGGCAGCAGGATGAGCAGTCAAACAGGACGTCCATGCTGAGGAGAGGAAGGGAGGAGATGGCTACGTTTGCTTCCTCTATTAACTCTTCTCTCTACATGCACTGCTGGCTTTCTCGTGGCTTGGTGAGTGGATGATTGAAAAAAAAAAAAAAGGAGGAAACAGCCAGTACACAAGTATATGATTCTCATTAATGAGATTAGAATAGGATATTGATTTGAAAACCTATGAGTATAATGTAGTAAAGGTGTCTGACCACTGACTGGAAAGCTTAGGCAGGTTAGGAATGTCAGATCTGGGAATCAGAAATCCTGGCTAAATTCTGATCTTTCCAGTGGTTGACTGAGTCATTTTGAAGAGACCATTTAACCTTATTGCCTCTGTCTTCCTCCTGTAAAATGGGAATCATTTGTGTTCTACATATTTTAGTACATATTTTAAAACTTTATGTGTTATGGTAGAAAATTATCAAATATATTTATCACCACATGCTGCAATGTTTATTCGTGGTATATTTAGTATCATTTTTATAAGTGATTTGTTTAACATTCTGAGACATTTTAGTATGCTAATTTTATTATAGTCACATCCTTGTAACCTCTAGGGAAAACAATCTATTAATGAAGGTTCTCAGTGGTGCATATGCTTGTTCTATAGCTGTTGACCTTTCCCTGTAATTCTCCTGCGCATAGACTAAATGCTTTAATTACATGTTTAGCTGTGGCGAGAAGTATGTATTCCTCATTTGCTTAATCTCATGATTCCAAATAGGAAAGAGGGTTTTTGTGATTGGCTCACTGTAGTATCTTTATTTCTAAAGGATTTTTGCAGCCTCTTATTAAAGGATAATGTATTGGATTCTAGCATGAGGACTGTGTATGTATTTCTGCAGCTGGCTAAACTGAAATTGGCAGCAACACAAATTAAAATGAAGGAGTAGGAAATGCAAAAAGCCTTTTGTTCTCAATAGGGCACAAGGTTCTTTTCTTTGGTCCATAATTCCAGTCTGCTTGTAAGCATTATTTTTACAAGTAATTCTCATTCCTTTAAAACATACGATTGGTAGGAACCCAAGCTTTACCTCAGCCACTGTCTCATTTCCAACAACAGGAAGCACCATATGCTTTGGAGAAAGGTAAAACACATGAAGTAATTTTTCTTCCATGACAGTCTCGTCCTGAGACTGCCTTCTTTAGTCCTCTAAACAGGACTAAACTAGATCACCTTCAAATTCTGCTACTCAGAAATGAAGTATGGCGATGCTAAGCTACTGTCTCTCCATGTTATATAAACTTGCTGTTTTCTTTCAAACACAATATAAATCAGATTGATTTATAACTTTCCCATGCACAGCTACGCCTAACTAAGCAAGTTTGCTGATGCACCTTTAGTTAGTGTTGCAATGGTTAATCAGCGTGAGCCAGGCCTCAGGGTGTGTATCCTAGCAAGTAGTAAGGGAATCTCCCAGGTCTTTGGAGACAGCTGAAATATTTTGCATCCTGCTGCCCTTGGCTCTAAACAGCAAGATAAGAGGATGGCAGGGAAAGCTTCAGTTCTCGGTAGGCAAAGCGCAGATAAAGCTCCTTCAAGATTGAAGACGCTGATACTGTCTGGTCTCTTGGACACCAGCGACACAGCTATTATCTAAATCAGCGAAACAGAGCAGTGATCTAGGGGTAGTTGTGTTGCAAGGCAGTTGCTTCAGCATGTTCACTAACATCAGTCTTGTGTCTGCCTCACGTTGATCTGTAGTTGTGTTTCCAGGCTAAGGTACCAGGAAAGCAGCACTATGTATTTCGTGCCATCCATGCAGTGCAATGATGAGAATATTTTCTCCCTTCAGTAATGCGTTAAATGAGGACAACGCTGCCTCTAACCACGAAGAGTTGCTGATTCCAGCTGATCTGGCTCCAGCTGAAGAGGCTGCTGTTTTAAAGGTATCCCCACCTGTCAGCCCAGGAGGTTTTTGTGTGTCATGTTGCGAGCTACTGATGCCTTTAGGCCAGTAAAAGAGACCTTGCTGTGTGTGCCTGTGGTAATATATACTTTGGGATGTATGTATTTGCAAATGTGAATACTTGCAAATGTGAGTGCTCTCTGGTGCAGAGAGGGACACTGTATAGACAGTTTTGAAATCCATTTCAGATGGTCCTTCCGGGTTGTATGCCTGGCACTTCTTCTGAACTGGTTGGTCTTTTTTCTCACGCTCGCGCAGAGCCTGTAATATCCCAATGGTAGACAGTAGCGATGACATCTGACATAGGCAGTTCCTATCAAAATAACCACAGCAGGAAAAGTTTAAAATTGAAATGCTTAATTGTTGTATTTTGGTTGCCTTAAAGATGAGATAATTTTTTATTAGGCTCTGTGAAATGTTGGATTCAACTTTTCTTTTGTCCCTCTCCGAAACAAAAGACGGTAGTAACCTTGGACTCTGCTGCTATTTCAGCAGACCAAGGGGTTATTCTGGATCAGAAAAGCAGCATCCCCTTTATCTGTTGTCCCTCTAAACCAGCATGATGTAGTTGATTCCACTGAATTATTAGCGCTTCGTCTTCTGAGTTCAGGGTCTTTGTTCACAGACTTTGCTGACCTTCGTGCAGTATGTTGTCATAATCCGTGCGTGCGCAGGAGCACTGGGCAGTGTCACAGGTTACAGGGCAGTGAGACTGTTTCCAGCATGTTGCTGAGAGATAGTGAAATGAAAAGGCTATTAAAAAAGGTCATGTGAAAAGATTTTTAGAAAACAGGCCTGATGAAGGGCGGTGTTCGTTAAGGACATCGATCTATAACTCAGTATGCCCCTGGAGTACTTAACTGACCTATCTGCTGGCTAATGGGAATTCAATTAATACCTGGTTTATTCCGTAGACCACTCCAGGTGACCAGGACGTTTCCTTAACATCACTGACAGAGAATCTAATTGACTTTACAGAAGCCACCCCACGGGTAAATGTATTTGAAAACCAAACTTCTTTCCTCATACGTAGCATGGATTTTACTGTTGACTCTCCTCAAAAGGAAACATTGTCTAGTTATAAACTGTGCTAGTATCTGTCAGGCTTGTACCTATGGCAATAGAGCGAACTGGTGACTGATCTGGATTGCTGCACATACGCCACATACAGCTTTGTAATGGAAGTGAAATAACCTGAATCTGTTTCAAAATTTACTTTGTGTATGTGCCACAAGTGCTTTTAGTCTTAATCTCAGTACATCTTCAAGGGCCAGCCTGCTTATCAGGCTTTTATGTAATACTTCCAAAAATGTGTGTATGTATGTATATATGTGTATTCGTATGTAGGTGTGGATGTGTGTATATATATGGGTGTGGGTGTGTGTATGTGTGTATGTGTGTATATATATATATATAAACTTCAAAAATAAACTTTTAATACAAGTAAAGGACCATTTTATATAGAAAAAATTTTTTTGTAAATTGTGCTAGGGAAAAAAGGAGTTACAAGGTGTGCAACCAAGAAAAGGGGAAGGAGGAGGACCTTTAAACTGTTCACAGAAGTGTGCTGTCAGTTAGCTTTGTCCACAAGCAGAAAACATAATGAGCTCAGTTGCCTTTTGGAAGGGAGCCATATACTAAAAATGGTACCAGTGAGTTTCTGTGACTAACAGGGCATTAGCTGTATTCTTTGTGGACACAAATTACCTTTTTGTGTGAAGTCACCTCACCTGTAGCCAATCACTAGCCCTGTTCAAAGACATTTTATACGGACAGACAGAGCCTGACCAGCAGCAGATGAATATCTGAGATCATTTTGAGGACAGTGTTGTTCCTAGAATGTTCTTTGTTACTCCAAACCTTTTCTAATGACCATGTCTTTGCTTTTCACAGGTGTCTTCCCAGCCCATGATAACCCCAAGGTGGATAGTGCCAGTGAGTTCTTAAGCCGTTCCTCAGTGATGATGGAGCATTTAAGAGCTAGTTTAAAAAAAAGAGGGGTGGTAGTGAAAAAGCTTTTGTCGTGGTTAAGAAATAGGAATGTAACTAAAACATGTGTTATGTTTATTAAATTGATACTATGGTAGTTCTGCATTTGTAATAATTTGAAAGCCTAATGCAATAGCGCAGCAGGCCAAAACTAAAGAAAACTGATCCAGCCTGAGTAAATCAAACAATATAAATATCCTGTTGATACTTAAATATTTAAACTTCATTTTTGCTGCGTTACATTGCAGAAAAACACCATGAAGTTTCTTTAGGGATTTCCATTTAGTGAGCCCCACCGTAGAACTTGATGAGTCTTACTTTTTGGTGTTGTAAATGAACACTATTGAGAAGCATGCACGTCTTGTCCTAGATTTTTTTTATTTCATTTTTCTGTTTCTTTCTCCCCAATTTAGACAGGATTGATTTCCAATGGGCCTTTGGGAATTGATGTTGCCTTAGCTCTGAAGGCAGTGAAAGGCAGCACGGAGGCTCTGTCGTTGCCAGCTGGATTGCCGCCATCCCAGCAGACACCTGAAGGCCTTGCAAGGTAGGGTCTCGTCAGCACTTCTCTTCAGGATGTGCATGTATGGGGCGGAAAGGAAAAGTGTGTCCACCTACCACTTTCACTTAAATAGTTATAGTGGTCATTTGGATACAGTACCTGATTTTCCTGTGCTAGTGAACTGTAGTTCTGTCTACAGCATTTGAAATTTTATAAATCAGTAGAGCAGCCAATGTATAGTGTGCATATTTTTATATAACATAGTTAGAAGGGAAAGAAAACATTTTTATTCAAATAATTAAAGGAAGTCTGAATTGAAACAAAGAATACAAATGTTGCTGGAGTTGGAGGTAAACCTATTGTCATAATAAGTGCCATGAAGTAGATTTTTCTTTCGTTACCATTTCGCTTCAATTTCTTTCCTTGTTTGGTACCATCTTTTAGTATTGGCCTAAAACTATGGTACAAATGAATTTTCTGACAAATATCTTTATGGTATTTCAATCCCTGTTTAAGGGTTTGCTGCTTTTTTCCCCCCAAGTTATTTCCAAACTGTAAGGAAGTCAGAAAGCAGAAGCTGTAAAAAACCTTTTCCCCCTGCTATCCCTCCTCTGCCATGCTGATGAGGCACACTTAGCAGTGACGATCGGGTCTTGGACTTTTTTTATGAAGGGAAGGCTTCTGCAGTCAGGAGGTGCATGGCAACGATGCTGCTACTGCACTGTGTGCAACTGATTCAGTTTGCCCATCTGCAGGTCATGCATTTGAAAGGTCTGTGTATTGGTCTTGTTAAATTACAAGAGGAAAGCTGTTATCACCCTTTGGAACAATACTCATCTCATAGTTTTATTCCCAGGAGTACCCTTTTTTTTTTTTTTAAATCCCTCGCAGCAGATTTTTTTGAAGGAGTGTATTTACAAGGCCTCATTTTCTTCCTTTTAGCCCAGTAACTGAGGATGCTACAGTAAGGACGAAATGTTTACTCACCACTGAACTCTAGAGGAAGGACCTTCTGCACTTCCCACCTTGTGAAAACTCAAACCTAACATCTCCGAGGGAAGGACTTGTTTGGGATCAAGCTCTTGCTGAATTGGGAGTCAAACAACCAGCTGTTTTGCTAGGATTCAGGAAGAGACTTTCACGTTTTATTGCAATCCAACTGGAATTACAGGATGACCCAGGATATAAAACCACATGAAAGTCTGATCTTCTCCCTCAGGAGAGGTGAAATACCACACCAGAGCTAGTTCTGACCATAAGGAACAAAATCTAGTTGTGTTCCGTTCAAACTAGGTTTAGTCTTACTTTTACCTGTGCTGCTTCATAGGCGTTAATGGAAAGAGTTCACTGTGTATTAGCTAAGTAGTGTTTGAACACTGCATCCCAGGGCTTGATAGATTAATAAGAGGAAGATTAGGAGACCTTTTAGGGCCACCTTGTGGCCGTACTGCATGTGGTGACTCACAGTAGTGATGACTGTTTTGTATAGCCAAGATCATTTTCGTCTGTGAGATTATTTCCTCTATTTTTCCTTTGTTTTACCGGCACATACATACCTTCTTAGCCTTAAAACCCTTTATAATCTTTGCGCCTCTTGTTACAGTACCTGGAAAGAATGAGAATCTAGTCTGTGAGAAATCAGCCGCTTTTGCTGGATGTGAGCTGCACTTTGCAACCAGGAAAAGGAAAACTAACCTGCCAAACAGCTTATAGCATTAGTAGAGTACAGCAGAGGTCCCACATTTTGACCCTGCTGATTTCATTTCCTGTATGACTCACATACGTACATTTTAGTCTACAGATGTGTATTTAGTTTTGAATGCTGAAGCAGTGAAGGTATGAGTACAGCTTACTTCAGGAATTGCTTGCTGGTTAATTTTGTTATTTAGGGCTAGGGAGGAAAGGACTTTTCTTGTTTCTTTTCATATTGTTTCTAGGTGTTGTTTCCAGATGCTGTGCTTTGGGAATACCTGTCAGGTGTGTTAGCGGCATGAGGCTACAACTAGACAGTTCTTAACACCACCTCAGAACCTGGCTCCACGTCTCTTCTGATAGGTGTTTGTGGAACAAAGAGTAGAAGGAATAAGATGAAAACAGGAGAATAAGATGAAAACAGGAGAATAACATGAAAAGCTTCCAAAAGCAATTCGCTCCCTTCAATGGTAGGAAGATAGGTGCACTTGCAAGAGCATGCTCCACAGTGCTAGTGAAGGCCTTTTGGTGCTGAGGTGAGGTATAGGATATGATATGTATGGTATGGAGAGCTCACTCGAGTCCTGGGCAACAGGATCCTCCTCATATGGAAACGTAGAGGTGATCCCATAGACCCTGGGAATACATCCTGTGAAAAATACCAATGCAGAGTCAAAAGAAGGAGAAATGTAGAAGCCCAGCAATGAATTCCACATCTCCTAAAGGGAAGTGCAGATTGAACAACTGCAGTTGTCCCGCCTTGGGAAGAGGCTTGTACATATGGCTGGGGTTGGAGGATGTTTTCTGCATAGTGCTGCTGTTTATAAATATTTATATACATGTGTTTCTTAGAAACAATTCTAAATGTGAAAGTTAGTTCTCAAACCTGTATGCACAGCTTCACTCCCGCACACCTGCTGTGTTTATGTTTCTCAGCATAGACAAAGAGTTGGACCAAACCACTGTGGGTTGTGCGACTCCGCTGGTGTCCCGCTAGGCTGCTGCCTTCAGACTAGGGTGTGTCTTGGATGTTTGTACTACTGCTTTTGTGCTCTTGTTTGCAAGACGTTGAATGAGAGCGTTAAGGACAAAACCACTCGACATTTACATGGCCCACTGCCACTCCTCAAAACCCCAGAGGCCTTAATAGAGAAACATAGAAACCGTTGGGAGCTCTGAGGACTGACGTACCAGAGTGACTCTCTGCAGACAGTATTTGCAGCCGTTGCCTCAAGAGCCAGGAGTCGAGAGTGATGACAGGCACTTCAGGTTCCCCCTCCTTACCCGATGCGTAACAGGGACGCGCTCCCTGCTCACAGCACTGCCGGCCACGGGGAGCTGCTGTCCTGGACCGAGGGGAGTGTCTGCTCGCCAGCCCTTCTGCTCTGTCATTGTTACTTCCAGTTGAGTATTGGCTTTTTTTATACTTTTAAGTCTGAGCCTTGTTGCATATTAAAATGTGGAAGGTTCCTGATTCAGATACCAAATGCCTTGGTCTGGGTTAATTCAGTTGCCAGCAAAGTTCCTGCAGGAAAAGGGAAGCTATGGCTGTGGCAGTATGCTTCCTGCACAAAGCCAGGACTGTGTGGGGAATCTTGGCATTTGCTATTGATCTGTTTGCTCAGCAGCTGAGCTGGCATTCGCCAGCTACATGTGTGGGTTTTGTAAATAGACAGAATGCAGTAGCGTTTTCTTTAAGGCATGTTTGATATTTGACTCTTCCCATTGGGTTCAGGAGCTCTGTGAACTGTTAGCGTGGATGTCTCCCAAAAGTAAAACAACACAAGTTTGCAGTTTACAACACTGTGTGCTAAGTACTTAGATTCCTCCACAGGAATCACATCCAGTAAATAACATGTGGTGAGGCAAGTGTCCCCCTAAAATCTAAATGGTTCCACGTAGCAAACTGTTATAATTGTAGTGTGACTTGGGTGGGGGGGACTGTTGTATACATGCAAACACATATAAAGGAAAATTCCAATTGCTTTCAAAATGTTGCATTTTTACTCAAGAGGACTAATAGACTAATGCTTGGAGCCTTCTTTAAAAATTCAAACTTTTCAAGAGTCCAATTGGGGACCTACAAAATTTCTAGTAACAGAGAGTTGCAAGTCCAACTCTTTCCAGTGATGTCCTGTTACTTGGAGCAAATATTCACTCCATTTAACTCAACCTAGCTTATTTAGCATTCTAAATCACTGCTTATATAGGGAGACCAGAGAGACTAAGACAGTTGTGTGATCTGAACAGACACACAGTTAGATGTCTGAGCATCCTATGGTTTTACATCACTATTTTACTTAAAACACTATAGTTATGCTGCTGTTTTATGACTGACTAACAAGTAATGTAGCATTACTTCTCTCACCTTTACTTTATCAAACAAATAGGCAAACTGGTTCCTGCATTTAATACTGTAAAGTATCAGTAAATGCCTTTGTGCCACTGGGAAAAAAGGGATTTTCTTAACATTGTGATACTATCGATTGATTCATCCTCTAAAAGGTTATGTTTTGGTATTTATTTATTTTAAGGGATTCATATATAAAACTCTTCCCTATTGTGTGAACCTGAAGTTGGGACATGGCAAGCCTGCCAACCACTTAGAAGCTTTGAATGTTGAGAGAAAAGAGTAAAGGCAGCTACATGTTGTGTTCCAGGCATTTGGAAAAAGCCTGTTTCCCCCATAAAAGGGTTGTTTTTTTCCTTACGAAGTTACCATCTACTGACTTAACTGATGCGTGCTCCAGTTTATACTTACTAACTTGCCTTATACCCTTTTGCTGTGTGTGCCTGTAATGCTGATCAGATGGGCATTATTCCATTATTAATTCCATTATTAATTAAATGAAGAAAAGTAATTGGATACTTTGAAAGGTTGTATAGAAATCTTAAATTTATTTTACAAACCCACAACTTAAAAAATAATTAACCTTATGAACATGAACTCCGTTTTGGTCTCACTCATTTGGCTTGACAGTAAGAGACTGGAGAGTCTAAATACACCGAGTAAATGGTGAATACCTGCATCTTATAACTATATGCTTTTGATATCAGAATTAAAACGCAGGACCTCTTACCCCTTGAATTAAGGGAAGCTCTTCTTTAGTTCAGCAGTAATGGGCTTTAAAACTAGGTAAGTCAAGTGATACAAAACACTTAAATGATAATGAGTCCCAGTTAATGCGTTAGCTGGGATGCATCTAATTTTAAGCTTACGTTCCATGCGTATTTTGTCAGAGCCAGACAGCTGTGTGAAAGGTATGTTTTGAACAGTTTTCTGGACACAGAACTTTGGCAAGGAGAAAATTTGCTGCAGCAGAAGAAGAGCTCAGGTGAGCAGTCCAGTTACACTGGGCTCTCTTTCCACAAACTCTTTTCAGCCCTGTGTCTGCGCCTAGCTCATTCCTGTTTCTTGCACGCAAAGCTGTACTATTAAGATCACCCTTTCCTTCACAAACGGTATGGGATACATTTTTCACCTTGTGAACATGTTCTCACACAGCCCAGACTGTCTACAGATTGAGCGTTAACAGCTCAGTCTCATGACCAGTTAGCATTTAAAGCTTAACTCTCTGGGCACACAGAGGTGTTCAGTAGTCTAGAACATTGTAGTAAAATGATATAGCTGTTAAGATGGTTGTATCACAGCTTTCAAATGCAGCTGGAAAATCATAACTTTTATACCCCCCACTCCCCCCAAGAAAAAGAAAAAAATCCATGCTAATGGCCTTTCAGTGACGCAGGTATAATCCCTGTGTGCTTGGTCTGAACGTTAGCACTATAGAAATAACTACAGCGCCTTTCGCACCACACTCAAAATGGAAGTAGAATTAGTGAGATTTCATTAATTACGCAATCTTGCCACAGTATTAAGGAGAGAAATTCAAGCCATTGGAGTAGCCTGTTTGAGAGTCAGGATCCTTCATTCATCATCACGTTTGGCTCTGTGCATCTACAGGAAATGAGCAGTGAGTATTGCTCCGCGTGTAGTAAAGGCAGACCCTGCACAGGAGGGAGCAGAGTTCACCTCCATTATACTGTTTGGCTCGAGCACTTTGCTTCGCACACACCCACACACCCCTCTACCTGTAACTGGACAAACTTATTTTTGAAGTATGTAAGAATATTTTTTTAGATAGATATTTTTTGTTAAAGCCACACTAACTACTGTATTTTTACCTTTTATATGTAAAGCTTGGCAATAGCTCTCAATGTATAATTTATTTGATTTTTATAAAGTGCACCCTCTTGCTTCTGTCTTTCACAACGGTAGCGGTGTATGAACTGTTTTAGGCGCTGCACTGAGATCTGTATTGAAACTGTACATGGGAACAAGAAACTGTGATTTGTAGTCCACTCAACCCAATCTTGAAATGTTTATACTGTAGTTTTGTCTTAAATATACCACGTCAGTGCAAAAGTCTCACAGAGTCATCTTTAAGCACCACTTTTATAGGATGGCATAGCCGTAAAAGCCAGGTAGGTGGGCCAAAACTGAGGAAGTGAGCTATGCGTTTAGCGCCTGCGGGCTGCTGCACCTCTGAAATCCAAGCTAAAGGTACGTGGCAGAGAAACGCTTTGTCCCTGAGCGCTCGCTAACGATACAGTCACTGAATCGTTCTTCAAATCCATTTATAATTCACAAAACAATGAAGCAAGTTTGGCTTAGATATTTTTATTAATTAAAAAAAAAAATCTCTTATGTCTCCTTTACAATGAAGTGTCTGTATATTAAAAGAAAATCCCTCTGCTATTCATACATTTTTAAGGCTCAGAAACAGCGAGTGGCAAATAAAGAAAACGAGTTTGTTGAGCTCCTTAAGGCTGACAGATTTGTTCTCTTGTATGTATGATTTATGATATAACAGTACATCTCCTATCTCGGAACAGATTGCAGAAGAACGTTGCACGCTTTTGCTTTTATTTTACAGAGTGAATTGCGACTGCAAATATATCAAATATATGCAAGTTTCGCTTTTTAAAGAAATACTTTAAAACAGCTAGCTTCAGTGGCAGCCCCTTTAGTTTGTGTCCAGCCAAAAATGATGTGTTTTGTTTCTAAATAATTGCCATTAGCTGGAGTGATTCCATTTATTATTTCGTGCGGGCCACCGCAGAGCTTTCAGATGGCCGTAGCTTTTAGCCACTAACCTGGGCCCAGGTTAAATTCTCATTAACTGCTGCCATTATGGAGATGTATCATAAGAACATCCAGAAAGCCGCTTGCGTTCCTCTGTAAGAAGGTGATGCGGCTGAAAATAATGTAACTGGATGTCAAGCAAAGAAGGCATGAAACCACTCAAGGTGCTCTGAAAACAGTTAGTGTTAAGTGTAGTTGAGGGCTCTGGGCTTTGAAGCGGAAAATTGGCCTGGGAAAAGTCATACAGTGGTATGAGCAAGGATTGTGTGCCTTGGTCTCAGGTGATGTTTGTCGGGACAGAACGTGACGCGCAGGTCCTGCGTGCCCGAAAGGGACCAAGGCGCCAGCTGAGGAGCGCTCTTGCCGCTGAGCGGCCGTGGGATGCACGCACTTTATATTTCAGCTCCCTGCTTGCCAGCTTGAGCTCACGCTTGTTTTTAAAGACATGGGAACATGCCAGCATGGATAAATCACCTCTGATAGAGTCAGTGAGTCTTCTGGAAACACAGGTTCCCCCTTTTAGGATTGGAGCTTTCTTCTCTATAGTTTTTTCGGGTGTGCTGCTGCCCTCAAGCATAGCAGCCCGGGTAGCCCTGACCCCGCGTTTCTGCCGCCTCCAGTCACCTCTCTTCCTCCTCCCATCAGGACATCCAGGCACCACCGCTGCCAAGCTCGTGCGCGCCTCCTGCAGCGAGGTGCGTGCAGGGGCTGGGGAACGGTGCGGCCCCGGGGGCAGTCGGGCCTGTTTGAGAGGTTCAGGATTTCTTAAGCGAAGAAACTGGAGATGTGCCCAAGGTGCTGGTGCGGCCACCTGACTTGGCTCACCAGCAGAGGCGAGGGAGCGAAGGGAGAGATGGGCGCAATCCGCATCCTGCTTTGTCCTCCCTGTGCCAAGCCCTAGCTTTTGGGCTGGCTCGCGTCCTGCCAACGTTGGCTCCAAGCAAATGTTAAAACTCTTCAAGGGGCTGCCAAAGGGAAGGGAGTTTGGGGGGGAGGACAGAAAGAATGGCAGAGCCTGGATGGCGTTTTCCTGGGGCTGCTGCACGTCCCCAGGATACAGGTGCATGCCAGGAGGCCTTCTCATTACTTGGAAAATCACTGGTTCATCATAGCCCTTTCCAGTTAAATTTCCTTCCCTCATCAATCCTAGATGAAAGTCCGTATGTTACAGTAGCTCACTCTGGATAATGCCAAAACAGACCATCTCTGCCGGTACAAGAAAAACACGCTGCTGATTTGAGGTGGCTGTGCTCTGTGCATGCTTCGCCCAATCGCTAGAAGAAGTTCTTTCCAAACGCGGCTCCTCTACCTAGGCATTTCGCAGTTCTCGGGGAGGAAAAATTCAAAGTCTGGGCAGCCCTGGAGGCTTGCTGAATTGCCACGCCGATGGCTGGCGCTTGTGGAAGCGTGCTCTGTATTCAGAAAGGTATGTTCTGTGTTCATTTTGAAAATATAACAAGTTGAATTCGTGAAAGCTTAGAAAGACAGCACACGCCGATACAAAATGTCGCAGGCTTTGTTTATATGGCAACACACCGTTCTCTCTGGTTTTAAACACGCGTCACTGAAGTTCCTAATAATCCTTACGCAGTTCTTTGCAAACACCTCTATAGTTTTCCTTTTGAACCCATGTGACAGAGACTTGTGACAAGATGATGAAAGTACCTGTAAGTACTTTACTCTCCACAGTTAATTCACTATTCCCATACAACTTTTGAAAAGTATTTTATTCAAATAGTAAGAAGTCTTAAGTAACACTCCTTCTACTAACCTCAAACGTCAGCATCTCTTGTTGCTGAAGGCTAAAAATCAGTCAGAAGGCCAGAATCTTACTATCCTATAATGAAATACATGCTTGAAATCCTGGAAAATAAGATTATCTTTCAAAAAGCACCTTTCTCTAGCGAATTCAAAGGGTGCTTGATTTTTGAACACAGAAGAATAAACCATAAATAAACTCTGGATTTACTTATTAACAGCAGATAAGTGGAGGTTTTATGCTTTCACCTTGTTGATTTTTGTTGGCATTGTATTTCCCTTAACGTTGCAAGTTACACATCAGCTGGCATTAAATCACCTAACTAAAACTCATGGAGTTCAGGGAATAACCTGACTCTGCAGATGGCCTGCCCACCTGCAAAATACTGAGTACCAGCAGCTCGTGTACTTCAACAGAAATTAAGGGTGCGCTAAATTTCGCTGAACTAGATGGCTCGAAGCAAAGGGTGACTCGTGTGTATGCTGCCTTGCAAGCCTCCCTCCTTGTGCAGCAGCGGACTGACGTTAAGCAGATGTTTTTATTTGATACAGAGGGGAACTGTGTAACAGGTACTTTATACATATGTTTACAGAACAGAGGCAGAAAGGGATTTTTGCGACTAAAATCTGAGTTATCAGTCAGATCAGCTTATGTTGTGTTCCACTCCTGTCCAGCCTTCCTCTTTTGCCTTTAAGCAAAAGTTGAAGCCTTTTGATCGTGTGCTCAGTCATTAACCTAGCATTCATTTTGTAACTATTACACTTTTCCAAGGTGATACACTTCCTCGGCTCCAGTGCGGCAAATGGTTTCCAGTGGGGGCTAATGGTTTCACTTCCTCAGAGTTAGGTGTATTCCTTGAATATCTTCTGGATTTCACTTACTAATTTGTCTGCTGCGTTTTGTCTTTGTTCTCAGCAACCTAATGATGCAAATGTGCTGTGCGAAGAACACTCTTAGAAGCATACGAAATTTTAAAAATCTTAGAAAATATTGCCATTAAGAGTATTAATTCATCAAATCATCAGATTCCTCATAGCCAGACGTGACCGGAACATGCAGAAGCTTAACTTAAATGCAGCTTTATGGGTGTGTAGCTGTGATTTATCCCACTGCAAAATGAGCGTGTTTTGCACCTCAGATGGCAATTATGAGTCCAATGGGGGAGGAGGGGGTTACCTACAATTACAATTTTTCGGACAGCATTGGCCACCAAGCTTTTAAAGGATATTAACTGACCAGAAGAAAAGTAACAAAAAGAACAGTTGCAACAAGCTTCTCAGAAGCTGCAAGGATGTGATTTATGTATCTGTAGGGTTTTGTTCACATTGTAAAAATCTTTTTAATTTATGGCAAGTATGAGAAGGTTTAATTGTTCCCCAGTGTGCAGATAGGAAACTGAAGACAGTTACAAGCAATTGGTTCACACCCTGCTGGCACGTTGGTGGAAATTGCTCCTTCCACTTTGCGATCCGACCAGTTACAAGCGATCAGACTCCATTTGCCAGAATGAGATTTCAGAGACGCTGGACAAGGGTTTACCCGCAGTAAGAAGCAGCGTGTTGGTACCACTGCTAACTTCATCCATTGCAATCACATGCTGATAGTCGATTCCTTCCCTTTCTTCTGTAATTCTTGGTGGCAGCAGCAAAAGTCTCTTTTTCTGAAGAGACAGACAGACAGACAGACTTATCCTTTGGCAAAACGCGTCCGTTTGGGTCTAGTTCTACCTCTGAAGTGGTTTGAAATGCACAAAACCCAGGGGCTTCAGTGGCAAGCTAAAGATTTTCATTTCAATTGCATTGCTTTCCTTATTGCTGAACGCTGAGCATAGGGGTTGTTGACAGAAGTTATTGCAAAACCAGACGTGCTTTGGGATAGTCACCAGCTGGCGATGGTCTTTCTGCTTATTCTTCCAATGGCTGGGAAATGTATTAGAGAAACCTGAGGTAATTTGGAAACCAGTATCAATTCCTAGGATGCAGTGATGATCCATCTTAGGAGAAAAGTTTGCCTTTGTAATATTACTCAGCTTCTTCCATGTCTGCATATGGAAATGGTACTTCCCGAGGTCACCGTTGGGAATGGAATTTGAAATCCTTCCATGAAAAATCAGCACAGAGTCTTTGAACACTACCAAGAATGACCTACCACTGAAGGAGATCCTTGGCTAAGTGTAAGAGAAGACATCAGTTAGAGAAGGCCAGCAAGAAACTAACGCTGATTGTAGCCTCTGTTTTTCTCCTGACTGAAAAGAATGGCCACTGAGCAGCTGCATTTGGACATCAAAATTATACTGCTGACAGCTGCATCAACACGTTGCCAACATCTACACCAAATAAAGCCAAATGGAACGAACTTAAAGCCGCGTCCAGCCTTGAAGAAGGCAGCAGTACCACATCTTGATCTGAACGATTCCTACCATCATCAAAAGCGCAACATCTCCACCTCTGCCTAGGCACAGTATCATGCGGTAAGACTAATTCTCTCCTTTGTGAACTTAGTGTAACAAACGGTGTATTTTAC